CTCTAGAAGGCTTGCCTTGATACTCTCCAACTGTTTCTCGTGCTGCTCTCTCCGCTTTCTCCTTTGCACGTCCTCCAACGGCCGGCGGTTCTCAGCGTGAAGTAAGGAGTCTTTACTTGACCTCCCTAACTACATAGTCACTAGTCTATTCTGCTCATGTGCGGTCAAGCAAAGCCCTCCGGCGCCATGACGGAGAGCACACGGAGAGGTCAATCAAAACATGTGTTTTTGGCGACGAAGGAAGGAACGAACGCCACCACTGCGATAGGTCAATGCAGTATGCAGTGGTTCCAGAATAGAAAGAAACGCACATTCCCTGTATACCCTATATACGTATTTACCCTAGAAAATGTATTTTTCTAATGTCTTGGCAGTTTGACCTTTGACCTGATGCCGTTTTTGCATGTGTGTGTGTGTGCGCAGCAGGGCCCGTTTTTGTTGGTGCAGAAGATGTAAAATATGGTGACTTGTGCACCAAAGGATGGTCTGCACAAAGGAAGGAGGACTTCAAAGCATGAGTTTTGGGAGCCTGCAAAAGAAGTTCACCTCCCTCCAGGGAACTGAGCAAAGCTTGCGGACAGGCACTTTGTCCTGGCCATGAGGAGGAAACATAGGGCCCGTCGCCCATCACGGTCAAAATCCAGTGTAATACCTGGAGCCTCCGCCTTGTGCATATTTTAGTCGTTAGCTGAAACAGCACTTACTTTAGTCGTTTGAGGACAAAACCGTCGTTTGCCAACAAAAGTGCGTTTGGCCTCCCTCACCGACCCCTTTTTCTCGCGATATCTCACGATCAAGGCTGCAGCTGGTTTCAAAGCATCGTGCAACGACATGCAAAAGCTGTTCGAGCTTCAAGCGAAAGAGTGGGAACCAGACATGGTCTTTAACAGAGAGACTGTGTTGAAGGTGTTCTATAATTTCCATCAGTGCTAAAACACAGATCTGGAAAAAGACTTCTAGCAGATTCTAGCATCTTCTAGCAATGGCTCTTGGAGATTTATCGTCCTGCACTTAGCACATTGAACAGAAGCACACTTACTTGTAGTTCTGGGCCCTCACTTCAGCAACAAACCGCTTGTACAGCGATTTTTGTTTGATCATGAACATATCAAAACATCTTGAAGATGTAAGCATTGGACTGACTCTGCGTGACGTTCTGCACAGTCTTCCAATTGTATCTTCATTGCCTTCACAATTCCACAACAGGGGCGAAGGAAAGTGGGAATACCTACAATCCATCAGCCAAACATAGACGTCCCTTTTGCTATGATCAAGTAGATGAAGTTTTGGTTTCAGGGCAAAAACTGCCCACCCCCTTTCCTCCAAGCAAACTTTGGCCAAGAAGGTGTAGCCTTTTATGAACTTCCAAAAAGATGAGAAGAACACCGCGCCACAATGGCGGCTCCAAGCTGCACCATGGGTATAGAGATGGCTCAGCCACTCCAAGGCCGACTTCGCCGTCCTGAAGATTTGCTGGACAATCTTTCGATCTGCCTCCGGCATCGGGCTCAGCATGAGGGTCCCAGTGAAGAATGCTAGCCATTCAACCAACATGTGGGTATCACTTCCATGAGAGTTTACCCATGGGTACTTCCTTCTGGTGGAGCAATTCAGGAAACTTACCGTGAAGGATCTCAATTTGGGACTCCTCTTTTTGATTCCATTCGCACAAAAAAAAAAGGAAGTGCGAGTGGGCGCGTGTCAGCAGGACATCAATCTTGTTCGATTCAGTGGGCTCGTGAAAGACTTCCAGATAGGCCAAGGTTCTGATTGATGACCCACAAAAGTCTCTAAGTAGACCGACCTTTCCATTGTGGAAGAGGTCTCGGCGGATGCATTTTTCCGGCTGGTTCAAAGAAGAGGAAAATGGGATTCGACTGAAAAGCGGCTCTGTGCTCCAAGGTCGAAGTGCAAATTGGCTGCTTGCCCAAGTCGGATTCAACGAGACATCCTCGAAAGGACGGGTTGGACTTCCGGCAAGACACTCGTGACACATTTCCTTCCACAAGGAGGTCACTTGCTTGAAGCTCCGGTTCAATTTGCACAGTTTGTCAGCAAACCATTTCAGGTCACCCTTCATCCCACAAAACCCCAAGCGGAATCGTCGCCCTTGGTGTTCCACCCCATTCTCACACATGTCTTTCATATCGTCAAAGATCAAGGTGAGCAGTTCATCCAGCAAGCCTGGATGGTTTCTATACTGGGCGTTCGGGAGGACGATCAAAGGAAATTTGCTCAGAAAGCAATGCCTTTTCATGTTGGTGGTCAAGAAGCTGCAAACTGGAGCCCGATCACTTTCTACAGGCTTTGCTTTTCCACAAGGTAGTCGGAACCTTTTGGCATCAGGTTCTTGGAGGACACACCTGTCACACCCATCAAAGTGCTGCCCACGTTTCCGACGCAAGTGGGAATCAATCCCTATGCATGTTTCCATGGTCACCACAGTAGTATTGGTCTTTTTGAGGCCCCTTCCTTCATCTCCGTGTATGCAACACGGAATCGTTGAGCCCTGCAATTCCGGTTGTTGGTACACCGGATGGTCCTCATGATCTGCTTTGTACAGTCCCCAAAAAGATTTGAAGTACTCATGAGCCTCATCAGCACAAGCAGATCCTGCAAAGAGAAGCTCCGGGGCTGATTCCAAGAAGTGCTTGATGTAGCTAGAAGGCTTCACAAAAGGGATCTGTTCCACATTGTTTGGATTCCCTCCGAACATGTAGCTGCAATAGCTCCGAGGGATCTTCCAGGCTAAACCCCAGCGATTCACAAACCGGTGGGCTGCACGACTTGCGTTCTTGGGAAGACCAGCCGGCAGATCTTTGAGGTCACCCTCAGCCTGGGCAGCCGTGGCAAACCGGCTCAGAGTCGATGCTGGGGCCTCAGCAGTGTCCAAGATGATGTCCAATACTTAAAAATAATATCTAATAAAGTATGTAGTTCTGCAGTTCCTTTTTAGCATTATGTTTGTGAGAAAGACAATGTAGGAAGCTGGCCGCATCAGCCAAAGCTTCCGCATAAGCTTCAGCAAGTGGGCCAGGTTCATACCCTTCAGTTTCACCTGGCACAGAAACTGAAACCACTATTCTCCACCAAGTCGCAATTCTTCATGAATAAGGAATAGTGAAAGGTCACAAGACTTGAACCGTATAATGACAAATCGATTTGCAAAGTATGCTCGGAATGCGAGGCATTTTTTTAGCTGTCGGGCAGCCAGCTATCTCAAGGTTGAAGTGCATGTTAACACACACATCGAATGGCTGGACTGCACAAAGCTTGCTTCACACGCTTCTACACCCCTGAGCGTGAAGAGCAACTGTAAAAGGCAGTCTCAAGAAAAGAAATCACTTACGCTTCTTGTCCCCTCCCTCCTGGGGTGATGATTCCTCAGCTTTGCGCTTTTGCGCAGCTGACTTAGGAACAACTTTGCACTTTGACTTGGCTTTAGCCTTTGCCTTTGCCTTTCCTCCCTTGCTCTCAGCAGCTTTCTTTGGCATGAATGGCCTCCCACGTGAAACAACAGGAAACTTAGGGCGGCATGAATGGCCTCCCACGTGAAACAACAGGAAACTCAGACCACCCAAGAACAAGATACTGAGATTGAATTGCAATGGCCTTGCTCTAGCCTCCAGACCAATGGCTTCAGCACACCTCTCATGTGTTCTCTGCACAAACAATGGTTTTGAGTTCTAACATGTTCTAACCTTAACTGTAGTGTTGTGAGGATGGCACACATCCTCGCACTCCATCTGCAGGGCTCTCAGGGAAGTCTCCTGCCTGGGCAGCGAAGACAACAAGATACAACTCTTGTTTCTTGTTTCACGGAAAGCGAAAACACATTTGCTAGGGCACTCTTTGGAATAGCCATTCACAACCCCATTGGAATAATCAATAGAGAGCTTGTTGTGCTTGCTCTCAAGCTTTGACAGGTTCGATTGAAGAGCACCAAGAAGCCTAGCGAAAGCAATGTTGATTGAGGAACAGTAGAAAATGCATTCATTGAAAACAGTTGCACCTGCTTTGCAGGTCAGTGAGGGTTTTCTGGGAACTAGTCAAAGCATCCGCCAAGGCTTGCATCTTGGTCATTCGCTTGGCAAGGCAGGACCTTGGATCGAGGGTCCAACACCGGGAGCCTGGAAGAGGGGCATGTGAACCAACAGTGTTTGCATGATCAGCTCGGCCACATATATTTGGTAACGGTTGAACTGGGAAGGGCATCCGGGTCATACTCAGGGAGGCCACTCCTCTTACGCAACTTCTCTCTCTCATCTTCAGCTTCATCTTCACTCTTGGTAATTTCAACCTCTGGTTCTGCTTCTTCACCATCATCACCAGCCGAACCTCAAGTGGATCCGGCAAGCCCCGTAACTATGCATCCTACCTCAAAAGATTTCAACCAAAGGATCCAGACCCACAAAGGGATGCATACGGGCAAAGAGTGATTGATGCGGGCAAGGTTAAACCCACACTCCACTCCACGCCTCCAGGAACATTTGGGGCTGTCGCCCCCCCGAGCATCTCCGGTTCCAGGTCAAAAGCCTGCGTCCCCTGGACTTCAAACTTTGCCCTCCTGGTCATCGTTACCCGCGAGATGCGCCTGGGCAGTCGAGCAGAGGAACGGTTGGCGGTCGACTGAAGTTTGGGCATTTGGGCATGAAAAAGGAACCATTGGTTTTTAGCCCGAGTTGCTTTGCTGAGCCCTTGATGCATCGCTCCACATAATACAGGGTCACCTTCTCATAAGTATCTCTCCTCCACCGTATTTATTTTGTCTTCAAACAGGCCCAATGTTGACACACACACACAAACACACACACACACTACAAGCACATGTCCTCATGAGCTTGCTGGGGTTGGTTCGGCAATGTTTCTTCACAGCTTCGATCCTTGCCCTTAGGAGCACCCCACACGTTCAAGGTTTTCAAACACAGATTTGATGGGAAGTGGGATTTTACATGTCGCCAAGTAGGGTGTTTCCAACTCCAATTCAAGACATCATTGTTTCAAAAAGCAAGAGCACTGGTCACTATTCTTTGTACAAGTTTCTCTGACCAGCCCCATTCCTCCATAGTCTGCACTGTCACGAACTCACCCTCTATGACCAACTCCGTTTCCTTCATTTCAGCACGCATGATTTCTACTTCTTCCACAAAGGTGTCCTCACAGGGATCCAAACCCTATGCAAAACAATTGCCTTCAGTATCCTTCAGTTGCATGTAAAGCCCTAAAAGAACCAACCCAGTCCGGGTCGTAGCCACACTGTTTGAAGATCTCTTCAAGCATACGGCGTGGCCGTCCTTTTCCCGTCCACTCTTTCCTAATCTCCTCATTGACCCTGCACGTCCCATTCACCCTGAGCTTAAAGATCCGGGCAGCACGCTGTCTCAAAGCATCATTCGAGATCTGCTGTTCGCCCACACGAAAAAAGGGAGCGGATGAATCTTTAATATCCGGAATCACACTAGCGAGTTCTGGCAAGTCCAAACTTTGCTGTGTAGGCTTTCCTGGCAAGTCCAATGGACTTGGCTCTGTTGGACCACACCGTGAAGCCTTGGAAACATGTTCTGTGGAAGGTTCCTCAGTAGGTTTTCCAGGGGCCTCTTTCACATGTCCTTTCGACAACAAAGTTGAGCCTGGTTCAGCGTCGACTACTTCAATATCGGAATCATGTCCTTTCAACACCAAAGTTGAGCGAGTTGAGCTTGGTGGAGCAGCAACTACTTCAACATCAGAATCATGTTCTCGGGTTGTCTCAACTTTCCCGGTCACCTGCTGCGGAGTTTGTGGAGGTATTGGCGGCACACAAGGACTATGCTGAGGACTGGCCTGGGACGAAACAGCCGCGAAGACAGGGCTCAGACAAGTACGACCAACATCATCAGGTTTGTCCAGGTATCGAGTCAAAGCCTTGGTGGCAATAGGTGGGGAGGCATGGTAGAAGTTTACAGGCACATGCTCTCACAGGGCAAACAGTCTTTTCAAACAACTTTATGGTTCAATCAACCAAGAAACATCGAGTTCACGTTGCATGGCTTCTTCCGACATACTTTTAAGACTCAGCAATTCCTGATGAGGCTGCCCATCCATGAATGATAAGCCATCCTTCAAAGTTGACAGTGACCAAGCAGTGCGAAGCTCATCACTCCCCGGCATGACCCCGACCAAGGTTTCCACTCTAATTATCACCCTGGACCAAAATGCTGCTGTGTCACAGTTTCCTACAAAAGGTTTAGCTAATGTACTTCTCTTCTGATGACAGTCAAAAGGTTTCCGTTTCCATGATTTTATCGCCTGTCACTCTATTACAGGGTTTACAAGTGATGCTCAATGACATTCCTTTGAGTACAAGAAGTGTCAAAGCAGCAAAGGAGAGTGGAGAGCATGACACTCACATGCTTTTGTTGCCAGCGGAACCACACCTGCGAACCCGGAATGATTCGTTCAGCAAACCCCTCTGGATCAAACACTAAAGTCAACTTGTTGACCTGGAAATAGGCACCAAAATTCCCGGACGGTTAAAAACGCTTTTTGGTTGGGAAAAACGCTTTTTGGTTGGGAAAAAACGCCGCTAGGAATTTGGCCGTGGAGCCCCCAACATTGCAAAAAATGATACCCACAGATCTCATCAATCTGGCCACTTCCAGGTCTATCAGCCTAGGTTCACTTTACGGAAACATCTCTTTGAATGCTTCCGGGATGTTCAAAGCGGAACTCCCCGCCCCTCCTCTCAAGTAGCTCAGTGCACCTGCCAAATCAGCTTCCTCCCACTCTGGCTGCTGGTAGGACTCGGGGAGCTGATGAAGTGGCGTCACTGGGTCCACCTGGAAGAGTGTGAGAGGATGGTTGGGAGAAGATATTGGGAGGAAGGGAGGCCTTGATTGGAGAAGGTTCATCTTCTTGCTGTAGGTCCCCAAGCACCCGCACCACAGCACTTGCAAATCTCACTGGGTAGACCCTTAGATGGTGAGCTCCAGGAAAAACCCAAACATACCCAAACACAAACTTCAAAGACTCAATCTACAAAAAGCTGTTTAGCTTAGAAGCTCTGTCCCTTTCAGGTGCTCGCTGCCCATCCAACAATCTTTTCCTTGCTTGTTTTTGTATGTCTTGGTTGTCTTGACTTTGCATTTCTTCTCCTTTCTGGTGAGGCTTCCTCTCTTCAGTGCCGCTACACATGTGCGGTTTGCAATGATTGTAGTTCTTTTCCATGTAGCATGGCCATATTTCTTCATGTAAAACTTCAGCATGTAGGTCTGGCATGGGAAGAAAAACACATACCATCGAGACCATTTTTCAAACAGTAGAATATCAAGGCGATATAATATCGGGCAGTTGGCACTCCCGAGTGTTGAACCTTCATTAGAATCAGTATTGAGGGACATGACACATGTGTCGAACCTCAAAGTTCATGAGAACCTCCTGTCTTGACCCCAACTCTTCTCAGCAACCGAACAGCATCCCTGATGCGATGATAGCGGAAGAGTAAACTGGATGAAGGCTGCTCCAATATAAACATCCCCATAGATGCCAGCAACAGTAATAGTAGGCCAGTCCTGCCACAACCCTGCCCCTAACACAACAAATCTAAGAATCAAACATGTTTCTTCCAAAAGCGTATGATTTGTTTGAAATCAGTCTTCCTGGCAGCCATCTTATTGGCCTTTCGATTCGCTGGCTGAGTCACAGCTCCAGCTGGGCAAACCCAGCTACGGCGGGAAGTTCCCACATTCACTCCCACCCAGGTGCTGCAGCATGTTGCAAGAACTCCAAGAAGCTTCTCGAATCTTCCTTGAAGGCAAAGTATGATGACCAGCCTGGGACGGAAAGAACGGGGTATCGGATAGGGCGCATGGTCCACCAAACATCATATCTGAAATGTACTAATTGGGTTGCACATGCTTCTACAAAGGTAGCCGAGGAACGCAAACCCAGCTTCACCATTGATGTCCATAAATGATCTTTGCTTGAATCCCGAGAAGGTTGACCGTTTCCACTTGGGTTTGTGATTTTTCAAGTCATACAAAGCCGAATGGAACCCAGCTCGATGCGCGAGACGCCCAATTCGACCCCTCCCTGCAAAAATGTCCAGAATATCATAGGCAGGTTTGCCCCAGTCAATGAAGGGGACCCACCAGCAGAGACACACGAGTACCACAAAGTCCTTGGTTTCCAACATTTTTCAAACAATCACCACCCGGTGCTTTGTTTTGCTTAGCTAGGTTCACATTGGTTCACTTGAGAAAAAGACAAGTTTCCCGGGGCGCTCCAATGGCCATAAGCCGGCGGATCACAAGCTCGATTTGTTGCGGGCTCATGGACAAAATGAGGAGCTTCAGCTCGAAAACCAAGTTTGCACTTTGGACCCCAAGTGCTGCGGGGGAGGCTGCCCAGTAAGCAGATGCTGAATCAAATCTTGCTGCTTTGTACAAAGCAATGCCAATTCTCTCAATCAAATTCGAAATCAAATCTTGCAGATTTGAACAAAGTAATCAAGATTTGGTTTTGGATGTTTTCTGACCGCTCACTCACTCAGTGCGTGAAAAACAAGCAGGCAAGACTACACTTCTGCCTCGTGAAGAAGCCCAAAGAAGCCAGTCTGCCTTGTCCACGTCTCAGCTTCATCACCTGCATTGGGCCAGGGAGGAGGAGATGAGAAACTTGAGCCGATTGTGCTTTCTGCATCAGCAGTGCGTTGAACTTTTCAACCCCATCATCCATTGCTAGCTGCAACGGTCAAACCGCTCAAAAGACCCCTGTGGATCAAACTCTATGTCTCCCTGACCACCATCAACATGTTGGCAAGTTGTGACCAGTTAATAAGGATTGAGCACAGGTTGCCTAAAAGAGCCTGAGAAGCAAATTGACCAGGGAAACTGGGCTGTGACCACCAGTGATGTTTTTCATCACTCCTCGCTTTCCAAACTATCAAGAAACACAGTGACTTTCGACTGCGCAAGGGCTACATAGCCATCCTTGGTCTCCTGGGATGAGGACAGCGACTTGAAAGCGCACTTCCACCACCCAAGCTGCAGGGTAAAAGTTGCGAGTTCGAACCCATTAAACTCACTCCCCAAACCCTACATCAACAACATTGTCAGTTTTAGAATGTTTTAGATTTGGCCAAACTTTGGTAACACCAAGCCTCTGTGTAGGTGGTGGCCTTGCCCTTCAGCTTCGGGGCAACTTCCTTCTGGAAGACTTCTCGCATAGCATCAAACCTGTTCTTGGCGTAGAGCTCCTGCGGTGGCCTGCGGCCAGCAAAGGTAATCCTCTCACCAGTGCGGGCACGCTTCCCACTGTTGGGCTCCTCCGTTGTTGATTCCTTTCGCTTGGAACCCTTCTCTGTCTCATTGGGCTTCTCTTTCTCTGGGTCAGCTTCTGTCTCAGCAGGCTTTCTTGTTCTTTTTGCTACCTTGGCCTTTGCTTCTGGAGTGTCCCCGTCAGGGCCATCACCCGCCTTGTTGTCCCCCTGCTTGTCACTCTTTTTTCTCGCTCGTTTTTCAGTCTTCTCATCCTTGCTTGCACCAGCTTCTTGCTCTTTGATCTTTCTCCCCCGGCTCTTCTTTGGGGGGTTCTCCTTTTCGTCCTCTTCTTCTGCCTTGCTCTCTTTCTTCTCATTCTTTGCCTTAGCCTTACTCTTTGCCTTGGCCTTACTCTTCGCTTTGGCCTTTGCTTTTGCTTGGGGCCTGTTCTTTGGATCTTCAAGTTCTTCCTCACCATCCTCCCCTTTCATGTTGCCCACCAGCTTTTGCTGATCTGCCCTGAAAGCTTCAGCCCCAATGGGAGATGAGGGAAACTGCTCCCCAGCAGTCTTCCCATCCCCAGGCATGCTTTTAGTGGCTGACCCTGGCAGGTGAGAGTCACCGGTCTCAGGAAGTACACCTTCTCCTTTGACTAGTTCTGGCTTGGTTTCACTAGTCCCACGGCTTTCTTCGGGTTCTTTGGGCTCAGAAGCTGCCAAGGCAACCAGACTTTCTTGCGGTTCTTTGGGCTCAGAAGCTGCCAAGGCAACCACACTTTCTTGGGGTCCTTTGGGCTCAGAAGCTGCCAAGGCAACCACACTTTCTTCGGGTTCTTTGGGCTCAGAAGCTGCCAAGGCAACCACACTTTCTTGGGGTTCTTTGGGCTCAGAAGCTGCCAAGGCAACCACACTTCCTTCGAGTTCTTTGGGCTCAGAAGTTGCCAAGGCAACCACACTTTCTTCAGGTTCTTTGGGCTTAGAAGTTGCCACACCAACTGAAGGTGGCTCATGCTCGATTGGCTTCTCAGGCTTCTCATGACCCCGTGCTTGCTCAAGGGCAGTTTTTGCCACTGGCTCGGGAGTGGTGCTTGGTGGAGCGGCTGGCGAAGTAGCTGGTGTAGTCCACTGTATTGGGCCAGGTGAGAATGGGAGCGTCTCCACTTCATCAGGGTTGCCTGGGTTGATCAGAGGTTTCAACAAAGCAATAAGAGAAGGGAAAACATTGTCTCCACCACAATAAGATCACCAACACCCACAACCTCCCAAAACTACCAAATCAAAACACTGAGCCACCACCACCAAGTGCACTGCTCTTGATCCCAGCTTGAGGCTGAAGATCTGGAGGATTGCTGGCCCGGCGCTCAAGTTCAATCCTCAGGGGATGCTGGGGGATGCGCAGTTTCTTAAGCCGATTCGACCATTCTCCCACTAAAGTTTCTATACCAAGTATTTTTCATGTTTCAAAACCACACCTCAGTGCTTCAACTCGCTTGCGGACTGCCTCTTCAATCGGGTCGGAAGAAGACCGGAAGTTCTCAGCCGGAGGAGTCGAGCCGTACAAGATTTTTTTCTTCCATTCTTCAAGCTGGGAATCAGGGGATTCAACAGCACTCCCTTTGACCACCAATTCCGGAGAGTCAACGATCTCAATTTGAGGAGCAGCAGTAGGAGCAGCAGAGTCACCACCCTCATAGCCATCCACCAAAGTCTGTTTTCCTGGGGTGACATGCCCTTCCCCAACTTCATCCCTCTCCAGTGAACTCTCCACTGTCTCCAGCACTTGGCCCTTCACTGGTTCCCCAGCTTGATTCTTGACCACTGGTTCCACGGCTTTACTCTCTTCAACCCTCTCCACCACTTGACCCGCCGGCACATCGGGATCCAAAGCCACTGCCTCCGAGGCTTGCTCTGGAATCCCCCAATGCTCCGCCAGGATGGAGAAGAACCTTTCCAGTCGGGGCTCCTGCAGGGATGAAGAGCAGGTCACCCCAAAGGTTTGAGATGTTTTGAGCAATGGTGATCACAATGGGCAGCCACTTGTTTTAAATCAAACAGTAACATTGGCTTTATTTTAATCCAAGGGACCCTCGTAGCAGATCCGGTTGCCTTGAACCGTCTGACTCCGTGGTTAAAGAGCTTCTTCAGCCCATCAGCATCCAAATGGATCATGCATGGGTCATTCGAGACACCAAGTTCATCGCGAAGGATGCTCACCTGCATAGCTTTGTTTTTACACTTGTCCCATTGGAAAACAAATTCTACTTAATTATTAGAAAAACCTTGGTTGTGACACTTTGGAGAAAGACTTCAACAATAGGACAACATGAAGTCCGGTGTTCCACAAAAGCCCACCTCTTGTCTCATGACTTGCACTGGGATGCATTGTGGGAAATCAAAGAGCGGGCACCACCAAAGCGCAGCGAGCTCAAGTGCTTGATGATTCAAAGCCATAGCTTTGATGGAAATCACTCCCACCATCTTTGCCTCACCCCAAGCCGTGAAGTGATCTTTGCCTGGTTCCGACTTGTAGAGCAAGGACCTCACCCACTTTTGGCCTTCAAGAATCTCAGCGAACTTACCCACCTCAACCTCCACCTGCTGAGGTTCTTCATCGGCTGATGAGCGGGCTGAGTCAAGACTGCCATTAGATTCACTCCGCTCCACTTCAGCCATCGTTTGATGCAAGCAAGACCAAACTAAGTAGCTAGACTGCCAGTTACAAAGCCCCGCAGCTGCGGAAAGCAACATACACTGCAGCTGGAAACAAATTGAACAATAGAAATCAAAGAGTCAGCGAGTTCTCCAGTAGACACTCAGAAGTAATCAGGTAGGGCGTGCCTAGTGGTGGCGCCCAAGATTCACCGACATGCAAAGTACCTGGATCGGCAAGTCTTGACGCATTCCCGCATTAGGTTCCCAATCAAAGTCTCAGCGCACACTTAAGGGGCTCGCTGTTGAGAGGGATCGTCCGCGCCGCTGACAAAATGGCCGAGGAATGGGAGTGAAGTAACCCAAACCCTCAGAATATCACACAATTCTTCAAAAGTCTCAAGATTGATAAAAGTGCTCAAAGACACTTTCCGATGGCGTTTCGTTGAAAAGACGCTTATTTTTGAAACAACTAAAATTTGCTACCCTCTGGAGGGTGCAGGTATGGCTATAGCCGATTTTCATCAGGCATTTTCTGTGATTTTCTAGGATGTTCCTGGCTTTTCCTGCCTGCAACCTCGCCCCCTTTGGTGTTCACCCCCTTTACTTTTTTCTGAATGTATATCGTATTTTACTATTGTATGATATGCATGGAAAGTGCCTCTATCTATTTAAGGTACGATCAACAATTATGTGCGGCTGTTGCATCCTCAGGTTTGTGAGTCCCCGATCGTTTTTCAATGTCTTGGAACCTTGTTGAAGGGTATCGATTTTTGTGAGTCAACTATCGTTTGCCAGGGTTTGGAGCATGCCCCCATATGAAATGCCACGCTCTTATGCAATAGTAAGCATCGCACATTTTGAAGGCACTTCATTTGGGGACCATTGTCACAATCCCAAACGCTCCATATATCATATAATATAATATGACCTGCATCCACCACCCAAAACCACCAGAATTGTAGGCCATCTTTGCAAACACGGAGCGTCTGGGAGTGTGCATTTGTAACATCAGGTGAGATCCGCCACAAGTTCAGGCATGACAAATGGATGATCAGGTGGTCATGGGTAGGATATGGGTCTTTCTTTTCTGTCTTTTTCAATCAAGAAAATTCCGTGAACCACCTGCGTGGCTGCCAGCTTACAACCCTAGCCACCTCATAGCGCTCCCCTGATGTATTTCAATGTATGTCATGTGTCCCTTGCCAACATCACTTGTTTGAGATTCACCAATATAAAAACTATACTCATCACTGCATCATCACTGTCAGCCTCACTCCCAACACTCGGCATCACTCCCAACTCTGTCCTTGGCCTTTTCACGGGCCACGCCGATCTGAACCTTCACGCTTTGGAGCTTCTCCTTCTTCACCCCCTGCGACGAGCGCATGCGTCGACCCGAGGGATGTGGGAGACGCATCCTCCACCGGTGCGTGGGAAGCGCGGACGAAGTGCGCGGCGAAACGCGGCGAAACACCCATGAACAAGTCGGGTGGTGTTCGCCCGCGTGGACGGCATCTGGACGGCGAAGCACGGAGAAGCGCGTGGAGCTAGCAGCCGAGTCAAATGGGACGTGAAGGTTGGGATTCTAGAAGACGATGCTCTGATGTTTGCATGTCTAAACCACCAGGAACAAAACACATCATGACTTGATCTGTATTAGATGTTGGGGTTCCTGATTCCTGTTTCAAGTCATGAACCGGTGGGCGGAAAGTTCGAAGTCTTTGCGGAACAGCCACATGAAACATGTACACTTCGAGTGACTCGGATGGAAGTGGATGGCACCCCCTGTTCGTAAGGAAAGTAGTCTTCCAAGGAAGTTTTCCACTTCCATGTGATGTGTTCGTCAGAGTGTACTCATCCAACCTCTTAACAGCACTGAACACAGGAGCACCTGATGTGTTAACGTACGGCTGGCTTTCTGGGTGAGACTGTGGAGGAAGACTGTGGCAGCTTGCTCCACGTGGATGGACTTGGTGTCCGGAAAATCCGTGTGGAGACCAAAACCGGAACTCCCGCCACGCATGATATTTCATGGCCACAACTTCACCAGGTAAACGTGCCAGCGAAGTTGCTTCCGAATCTGACTGAGACTGAACCCGAGAAGAATTTGACAAAGCCAGGGAATGGCGAGATTACGAACCTCACCAGAACGCCCCCAGGTGCGGGGGATTTCATGCCGGAACGACTTGGAATTTCAGGGTCTATGTTAGTTTTCAATGGGGTAACCCAAACACAGACCATTATGGACTGGAATGGACTGGATTGAATATGCCTATGTAGACATTGAACCCTTTTCCACCCAATTGATGGGCAAACGTTGCAGTCCCATGGAGTCGGGTTGCACCCAGCATCACCCAGCCAGGAAACATCATGGAGAATCACGAAGAAGGTGAGAAAACACAAACTGAACTTCACCAGCCAGGACATGGCAAACGGCCGTTTCGCAACATGAAATGGATGGTGAACAACGGGCTGGAAGAAAATGGACAAAGTAGATGTACAAAGGCTGGACCCACATTCTGTCTGTGACACTGTGCCGCCCGGAAGCTTCTCTCGGGTGGACAGAACAACAGGGCGTTAAGGCGTTAAACATGCTCAGGCTTCCAGATTCCAGCATGGAGATCCGTGTCATAGATTGACGCTGGGACCAGGCTGTTCCTCATTAGACCTGTTGCTCAGGCTGTTCACTTCTAAGGCAGCGCAGCTTGTGTCACCATGGGACCACTTCGCCACCGCTTCGGGTTCGTCACCGTTGTTTTCGGTGTTTGGGTGGAGCTGGAGCTTGTCAAGTGACTATTCAATCGAGAACATGACCAAGAGGGAGGACTCTCTGTGTCTGTAGTTATCCCCAGTCCTTTCTGCAGTACATGTTGGATTGGATAGTGCTGCATGAGGACACATGAAGTCAAAGGAGTTGAGAGCAAACAGGTCAGCCCAGTCCCACAATCACCTGGCTTTGAGTGAGCCTGTCACCGAAGTGCAAGACAAAAACGTGCGCGTTTGAACAAACCGCTGTGGCAAATGGTCACAATGCATTTACTTTGGTCCCACCATGTGTTCATTGTGTTCGATGACCCTTACAACCAATCCTATTTTTACTTTGATACATCCTTAAAGCAAAACAAAATCAAACCGTCACCTGGAACCCTGCTGATTGAAAACCAAAGCATGGACCTTCAACAAAGCTTCAACACCCGATGGACAATCGTGTGAACCTCAAAACAAGCTTGTTCTGCATTTAAGACTTGTGTGTTCATTTCAAAAATAGACTACTCTAAGATCTAAGATCGCAAAGAAGCACACGGTATAGTTTTTCACATGAGCCCCCACTCCCCTCCCCTCCCTTATCCCACCATCCCCACCTTGGAGCCCTCCTCGGCAAAGGCCTGGCGTTTTTCGACGCCCGCACCGAGAAGTGTTTTTCGGCGGCTTCGCCATGGCGAAGCCGCCTCGGAGGCCCACATGGCCGGAAACTGGTCGGTCCTGCGGCATCCGCCATGGGATCGGTCTAATGTCTCAAAGATATCTGGCGATTCTTGGTTGTTTCGAGAGTATGCCACCATGTCATACCACGTCCATTGCTGAAAGCGATGCAATTCTTCCACAAGACGTGGTGGGAAGACGCCCGTCAACCAGCGCAAAAGAAACCTTAAATGCGTTGGATGACCATACCGTTGTTCAACGGCTACGTCGACCTGAAAAATGCACCTTACTTAAGTCCGGACGTCCGGAGGTAGGACAAACAACTGGTTCTCGGAGCGTCGGAGCAAATCTGCCAAACAAACGGTTCGAAGGGCGTTGCACTCGTCTCAGACTGACGTGAGGTTGTTACCAATTGCACGAGCAGTCCTGATCGCTGTCAAGCTACGTTTTGTTTCTTTTCTGGGGTGCTACGTTATGTGGTTGAAAGATGTTGAAAGAAGGGCTATGATATGCCCACATGAATCATAGGGTTCACTGCGACATGACAACTGACCATGAAAGTCTCCAAGGATCGCATGAGAATTGGCCGAACGAAATCCATACCCCTCCTTCCGGAATCTGACCATGCATTCTACCGCAATGTTTTCACATGGTGTTTACACCCACATGCTGCGGAACGGTGAATTCTTTGGGCATCCAAGTACCGTCTCCACCTTCTTAAAACGTTTCACGGTCCACCGCGGGCCTTCAAGATGCTGCTCAGCGTCGTGTCGGGCATGACAAAGCTAAACTCCTTCGACCCGCAACGAATGATCCGAAGGATACTCACAGCAGGTGCACCTGACTGGTGCACGTGTCTTGCGTTTGGGGCGATCTGATCTCGTGAGCTCGTCTGAAGTTGTGTCAAACATGTTTGAACATGGTTTTTGGAGAGTAATGGATAGTAAGCATATTAACTTTCATATTTGGTCCTGCAGGGGGTTGAGAAATAAACCCCCTGTTCACTGGCCGCAACCACTTCCAACAAAATGGAGACTTTGCGGTCCATTGCTAACAAACCTCTTGGCGGCAAACACTACCATCTAAAACATGTTGTTTTTCAAACCACACGTAAACCTATAACACCAAGATTGAGCTTCAAGTTGAGGCCTATCACCGAAGATTGTCAAAGACATGACAAAAACAATCAAAAACACATGTTCATGCCTTGCAAGTGATTCAACTGCCCATATCCACAGGGGTCACGATGTCAATATTATGTTTGGTTTAACATCGTGTAGTTATGGAGAAAAAACTGTTTGACAATGATACCGTATTACATCGTAGTACCTGTTCCCGATCAAAAGAAGACCTTCCTTTGTGCGAAAAACGCAGATTGTGAACAAGTTATCTTGACTCTTCCATCCTGCCCAGAACAAAAGCCCCTTCTGAATGTGGCTACAGAACCTGTCAGCAAGTCACCACCTGCAAGACTCAAGCCCCTCAAATACTTTCACAAGAGACCAATCAAGAAACGTTCCACTGTCCCACTGTCCTTCTTCGCAAGAGTGGCAATCTGCGAGACGAAGTGAGACATCAAGGGGTTGTTTGGGTTACGT